CATCGATAACAATGGAGACTCTTTCATTTAATAAATGTTTTGTTTTGATATATAAGTTGTTCAGGTTTTTTCATCTAAAAAAAGTGACATTAATTTCTTGATGACCTAATAAATACCTCAAGGAACTTCAAACCCATAAGAAAGATCTGCAGTCAGCTATTGTTGAGAACTGAAAAGGTAATTTCCGGTTACTTTTCTAATTAGTTATGGATATCTTTGATGAAAATGGTGTTAAACTCAAAAGTTATTCTAGCTCCTTTCGCTCAATCATTTGAAAAAATTTAAGTATATACAGCTACATTTGTGATAATGCTAATTAAGAATTTCTTAGCATACAATGACGTGTACATGAGCAAGCAGAAACTAGTCTATTCCCCCAAGCAGATGAGCATACATGCTTCTTTTTCTTTTAGATTAGACAGGTGAACAAGAATTTTTCCTAAAATTTTCCAAATGTTTTACTCAAACATGCATATGGGTGTACTCATAGGTTTAACAAAAGCGACAAATTCTGGAATTCACTTGACTTGATTACATTTTTTTGCTTTTGGTGTTAACCAGAGCTTTCTCATGTCACTAAAGAAGTACATGTTTGTAGATTTGTAGGATGTATATGTATGTTCTGTAAGGTAATACTATTGCATTTTGTATACAGTTGTCTCCCAGACTTATTTATGTTCCTTCAGATTTTGGCCTGGTCTTTCTTCTGAAAAAAAAAAAGAGTTGTACACTGTCCTTAAAAATTGTACACTCATCTATCTTTGATTGTTTTGATTTGAATAAAGATTACTTTTAAATTTATTTTTACATTATGTTTAGTCTGTTTCTTCAACTCAGAGCCAGAAATTCCAATATGACTGTATATAACATATTCTGCTGTTCTTCCTGTTATTTGTGGTTACTATTCTTACCTGTAAAAACAGTTAGTACACCTGAATATACCACAGCATAAGGAGTAAGATTAGATTTTGGTGCCATAACAACAGAATCTGTTATTGTAGATTGTATGTTTTTCTTGGTGAGTTCTTCTTAACTCTTGTGAAGAATAGGTTTAAGAAAAACTTTGTATGAGAGGAAGTATATTTTCGATGGGTGTAAAGCTTTATGAGTAAGGGAAGGAGCTCATTCCCAAGGGTAGAAGGTTTTATGAGAGAGAGTTATATTCAAGGGTTAAACTGGGCTGGAATTTAGGGGAATGACATTCCCCATCCTTTCTATTTTGACTTATGTTCCTGCTTATGTGATTGAAAGAAACATGGATCTGTCACAGAGCAGTTATACTAATAAAAGGAAGAGAGAAATTTGAGCTATTTCTCATTAAAAATTCCAATATAATCTCCAGTTACCAAGTGGACCTATCTGGTATAAATGTAGAGTTAATTTAGTTTTACAGATTAACACAGATTAACATTTAGATTAACACAGATTCAGTAAATTTTAAGTTTCAGAGAATTTAATTGAAAACTTAATAAATATGTAAGTGTTAAGAGCTGTCTTTGATGTTGTTGTTGTTTTTTCAAGTGTGCATGGATGGGATGGTCTCAATGGACCAATAGGCCTTTTCTTGTCCTTAAACTTCATAACGGTTGCATACAGTAATGCATAACTTATTTTTGGTTGAAACATCAGCAAGTTGTTATCAGGGATGTACCATGAGTGGTGTGTTCACACAGAGCACCAAATCAAAGGGGGTGCTGATTGCCTGATTCACTAACAAAGCAAACTAATAGGTTAGGTTTGGGGCATTGAATTTATATATCACACGGGACATTATCAAACATCAGTATGACACTGGTTGTTATTTTAAAATTAATGTGTTTAATAAATGTATTTCTTTGGTAAATCATTAGCACTTTTTATTTTTTCAAATAATTGGTATAGGAGTGTCATTCCTAAAAGAATTCCTTAGGAAACCTATAACAGCATATTATTGCTAGTTATTAATATTTGTTATTTTATCTTGAAAATGTATCTTAATGTATATATAGAGTTCTTCAGAAAAATAAGCTAAAATTATTGTAACAGCATTCATATTTTAATTTCATCAGGATTAACTGTAACATTTTGGTAGAATGCTTGAATGTTCTAAGTAGGTGACATAAAACACCTATACAATCACCAGTTTTACAACTGAGATGTGATTCATTGTAACAATTGTGTGCCAAGTTCATTGTCTTACAGAAACAGGATTGACTTTACACTGTTTTCATCTTGTAAGTCAGACATAACTGTTATTATGCTGACCTATAGCAGCTTTTGTTTGGCAGCTCAGTCTAGAATGACTGATATACTTTAGTTAATGATTCTGCATTGTAAATGAGATAGTTAGGTCTTACTATTACACTTGACTTAGTGTGATATGTTTTAACTAAAATGGGACCATTGTCTTTCACTTTCTATGTTCTAGCTAGGGGTATATTTATTGTTATACTAATATACAAACTTCATACTGTAGTATAGTGTGTCAGTTTCCATACTGCAGCTTAAACTAGAATTATACCTTTTAACTTTAAATATTTTAACTGAGATAAGTTTGACAGCGACACTTGTGTCTCAACTTTTATATTATATTTATAATAAAATAACTGTTAGGATATAATTTATTTACTTGTAACTGAAATTGGAATAAGTTAAGCTTACATGTATAAATGTTTTTATAACTACAGACAGAATTGACTAATGGGGTCTATTGGTTTTAATGTTGTAACTGAGTTAGTGGTGTTGTATTTGAACGTATTAATCTGTTAATGATTGAGGCTCAGGTCAGGAGCATGATGGTAAACACCAAGGGTTATATCAGTTCAGGCTAAACTCAGCTAATTTACTCATGCTTAACCTTGACTACACTATTATGAAATAATACTGATTGTTACATATTAGATTATCAGTTTTTATGTTGTAACTGAGAACAGTCTGATTATTATTTTTTAATTTGTTATTCTTTATAATTGTTTGAGTTCAGTTTATCATCTTCTGTCTTGAAACAGACTGGATCAACTGACTGAGATTAAACATGCGTGTGTTAATTCTAGTGAAAGAATGAATCATGTTAAAATAAGCTATACATTTTTAGTTGTAATCTTAGACTGAGATCAAGATATTATATTTTGTTTTTAGGTAAAGATGCATATTATGTAGGATGTATTTGTTATATTAGGCTGACTTAGAGATGTATGTTAAAGAGGGTAAATGAGTAAAGTTAAACTGAGATAAAATTGTGTTTGACAGAATTGTTACATTTATAATATTATACACTGAAGTAATTATATAAAAAATATGTTTGCAATATTAGTCTGAGAATAAGATGTGTATTAAACAGGTATTTTTGCAATCTTACTCTAATATTTGTGTTGTTCTAATAATGTGTTTCTAAGTTAAGCTTAATTTATAAATGATACATGACCTTTGTTAATTTACCAATACATTTTAAATAGTGTAATTGTATTTTGTATACTCAATTTAAAACTTGAATTAACCAAATTTTATTTTTATAGGCTGAAATGAAAACATTTAAATCCATAAATCCTCAACATAGATGGTCAGTAGATGTTAGTCATGATGGATTTCATCCTCCTCCTTCAAGCACAAATATTGGAAAAGTAATATATTTACTGTTTTCATGATTTCATTTGAATAATCTATTGTTTTAATTCAATTGTATTCATTGCACAACAGAAAACTCCAATCTAGCATGCATATTTTATGTAACAAACTTGCTTCTACCAATCTTTTCACTATAAAAAGAAGATATTCTTTTTGGGATTGCTGATTATGGCCTATTGAAATTTAGATCAACATTTTCACAAGAAAGTATTAAAGTAATCTGCTTAGAGTGAAGGATGTAAAATCATGTAGTAATTGTAATATTTGAAAGACTGTATGACCATAAACACATACTTTTGTTTTTTATTTATTTTTCAATTGAGTAATTAATCTCTTTTTTTTTTCTTACTTAATATTCTTTAATCATTCAAAATTATTATTTTGAGTAATCAGCAATGACTTTTTTACATAATCTTTCGTTCTTAAATGAAAATATCTTTGCACTATGTTATAGTCAAAATCATAGCTCTCACTACAATAGTTTACCTAAATTTAATTTGTCAAGTTTGGGATTTGTAGATTTTTGTCAGTTTCTTCAGAGTTGATTATATTGGTCAAATAAACTTCACTTAAATATTTTGAAATTAACTGTGTATACACTTATAGTTATGTTAATTTTTTGGAACTTAATAATAATCAGCCTTTAGTCTAATTTGTTTTCTCTTACCTTTGCAAAAATTATATCAAACTGAAAGGGAAAATGAGAGAAACCCAACTAACAAATGTTTAAATAACTGATCATTTAGATGTAACATATATGACATTAAATGTATAGATAGTCTATATATATTACAGAAAAAAAAAAAATTTTTGAACTTATGACTTTTGTTTGATTTTTAATAGTTTTGAGGTTTATATTTTTTTTATATTTGTGTGAGAAAATTGTAACAGGTGTTCTTCAAACAGTTTTTTGGTATAGCTTGAGTAGGATATATTTTGTGAATTAAAGAAACCTATTACCATTTTTAGTGTTTCTAAGTTTGTTAGATATTAACAAGTTAATACTACATTTATGTAAGTTATCTGTGTTTCAGCAACACTCTAATCCACATTCATTTAAGACCCGACCAGTTAAGTCTAGACCGCAGGTTCAGTGCCATAACCCTACATTGCACATGCGAAGGTCCTTCAGCCAACCACTAGACATTCAAAGGGTAGCTGGAGTGAAAAGAAGTCAGGAAATATCTCGAGGTATAATAGAAACAAACAAAAAAATAATTTTCCAGATATTCAAGATATAAAAAGTATTTGTCAGTTTTTAAAGTAAATTTTGCATGTACATTTGTACTCTTTCTTAACTAAAGTGATTTTGAGGCTAACTAACTTTGGTGCTAGATTTATCACTCATGTTTCCTTCATCTTAAATGAGTTAAGTTGTTAGTATATTTGCTAATATTAAATAATAAATCCCATACCATAACTATTTTCTAGCTACTAAGAACATAAATCTCATTTGTACAACATATCCTATCATCAGTTGACCTGAAGTGATGTAAACTAATACTACTCAAAACTGTTATATGTAGCTGATCGTGACAGAATATACTTTTCCTAGAACTATTTTCTAAAAAGAGGATGATGGATGTTCTTCTATAAGATATCAAAAAGTGCTAAGTTAATCATAACCAGTAAATATGAATAGGCACAATATTTTGATAAATGAAATTTATATTGATGTAATATATATACAGCAATAGAACAGGAGGAGTGCATGAAGTAAAATTTAGTAATGTTTAATGAACACTAACTTGTATATGTTTTATAACATTACGAAGTTCTGTCACTTACTTAATTTTCGTAAACATTCAATGACCATAAATGAATGTTTATATTATCATATATCTTTTTGACACATCTTGTATCAATGCATTTTAAATAAAATTACTTTTTTTTCTTTAGCTAGAAGTGCATCTGACTAGTAAGGTGTTTTAGATTAACAAACATAACTTCATATCTGGCAAAGCATGATCTCTCTTAGATTAACAAATGTATTGAAACATTACAATAAAACTGACAGAATCTTTAGATAACCCCATTATCAACTGAATGTGCATAGGGTTGGTCCAATGGACCCAGTGGCATGCTAAAACACCTCATGGTGTTAGGATAGTGAATATTATGGGGTTCCCTCATGCATATTATTTTTGTTGTACAAGATAAGTGTTACTTCATGGTTAAATATACACATTGACCTGCAGATGTGTGTATATTTATAAATAAAATTTTTTTGTATATTTACATTTTTAATTGTTAATCTTATTTTAATAACATAAATCTTGCTTGAAAGAAATTATTTATTCATAAAATCATAAATAATATTCAATGGAAAACTGGTACACAATTAAAAACATTTTATTTAGGCCTATCTATGGCCTTCAAAAAGTTGACAACTCTACATGTTTCGATGTTACAACGTCATTCTCATAACTGAATAAAATTTCAAATAGCACTCCAAATTTAGAAGAAACATTTTTTTTTAATTCATTTCCTTTCTAATAATTCTTCCTTTTTCAACAACACTTTACATACAGTATCCTACCTAAAAATTTAGGGACCCCCATTTGCCTTGGGACCCAAGGGCAACAACCCATCTGCTCTTCTGTTAATCTGGCATTGATTGGACATGCCCTGTATTAGAGAAGTAATGTTAACTATAATTCTAAATTGACAAAGTGTATCTTCACAAAATGTGACAGGTGTTTAGTCAACAGTACAAGTCTGTTGTGCACAAAAAAATCACATGTGTTATTAAAGTTTTTGTTTTAAGACATGTCTGTAAAATGTTGAAATCACTTTAACTTAGACTCTGACAAGTTGGAGTGCAAGGTGATGTTCATGTGAAGAGTAAAAATACTTTTGTCCATTGTACAGATTTTTAATTATATTTGCATGATCTCTACAACTTCCTAAATGTACATCTAAAGTTTTTCAGTAGCCCTGTATATTTTATCTGGTATTAACTCTACTCTAACACGAACTGTTGTGAAATCAGCAATTTAATATAAACAGTTGACAACTCTGACATCTAATTCATAATACCATGTTGAATGATATTGGTCAGGGCATGCACACTTTGACCCCCACCTGTACACATAGGGTTAACTAATTCTATATATATATATTGGGGTGTATCGAAAATATAAATTTCTTATATGATTATCAGCAGGGTATGTGATTTATGCCTTTTAATAGTAGTAATTATGTGGATAAGTTTCAGGCCTCTAAAGTTACATCTTGTACTGCTGCAAGGGGGTTATTTTCCTTAAAATATCCACAATAAAAATATATGAGAAATCAAAGTGCCATAACTTTGGATATGCAACATTTAGCAAATTTAGGATTTTTATATCCTAAATTACGTAGAACTCACCATGAGGAGGTAGTTGCATGTTCAGTTCCACCCAACCACCCTTCCACTGGACAATACAAGTACTGGATTATGTATTGTTTCTTAGTATTAAATTTTTTCATAATTTTGCTTTAATGAATCCCTTTCTTCTGCGATAGCCACAAACAGCTGCTGAAGCTTCTGTTACTATTTTAGCATGCCTTTCAACTGCTTGTGTGTGACATGGAATGCTGAACTTGAAAACTGGTGTGTCATCTTGATTAATGAAAAACACCATCTGTTCATATTTTTTGTAAGTGGTGGCCATACTCTCATTCCACATTATTAGATCAGTGTAATGTTGTATTAATATTTGGAACCACAAACTGTCTCATTGTGCTAGAATTTGAGGTAGATCGAGCAACCAATATTCTATGAAGAGCAAATTGTCTGATAGCCTTAGAATCATCTCCAAGCATTGCAAGCATCACATATTCCAGGTGGGTAAAATATGCATTTCTACAGATTACTCTATCCACCACATATTTCTCTGATTCAGGAAGAAAACATGATTTTCTTACAAATAGAAAAAGGTGTAGTAAGTCAAGGCACAAAATCCTGTTTGCTGTTGTTAAACAGCAAGAATGGTTCATTGTACCAGGGTCATGTAAAGCAAGTTCTCTTGAACAATGACCTGACACTACCACATTGCACATGTTATACATATATTTATGATCTGTACTAAGATCCTCAGGATGGTAAATTTTCGGAAATGACTCTGTAATTTCGACTTAAAGAAAGATTACCAAAGGAAGTGATTCACAAGTCTTCAGTTTCTTTCCAAGAAGACCAGAAAAGCTGATGGTCCTAGAGTTACTCCATCAGGATACATAATTAGATGATGCAGGGGTAACTCATTTGCATGTAACAAACAAATTAACCTGAACAGGTCTTCCTAAGTGCAATTCAAGAAGCCGCATAACTCCAGCTTTATTTCCAGTATTGATGTATGTGCCGTCACAGCCTACAGCAACTAAATTATACCTTCTGATGTTCCAGAAGAAGGAAAAATGTGATCCATCAAAATTAATTCAGGTTCACTGACCAAAGTTATGTGGCATTTCATGACTACACGTTTAAAATGTTTCTGCCCATTTTGAATGACAGTTTTAGTTATATTTTTTCTATCATCAAAGTAGATAGATTTAATACAATTTGATTCATCAGAAGTCAATAATTTTTTCAGTATTTTTCTCGTTTGTGTCGTATCTTGTTTTATCAACAATTTCACATTGTCATTTTCTTGAATAATGCACATGTCTTCAAAACAGCTGAGGTAAGGGCTGCAGCAGCTCTATCCGAAATACAGTACCTGTCAGCTTCTCTCACTACCGTTGGAAGCAGTGTCCTCATTTATTTTAGGAATTTTGGGATTTCGATGTAGAAAGTGCAGTATTAGCAACATCAGAATCTTCTGAGCTTGAAATCATTAAGTCCTCATGGTCATTCTCTTCAATAGATATTTCACCAGATACGCTAGATACTGATAATACAGAAGACAACGTAGCTTTTAAGTACTTAGAAAAACAAGCTTTATTTTGTTCTTTACGTTTAAGTTCTTGGGATTTCTTTACATAGATGCACCCAATTTTTCTCTCAGAATGCTGATCATTCAGAAATGTTTTTTCTTCTTTGGGAACCTTTTTTTCAGTTGAACAATGGCAGACAGTTCCTTGTTTGCATTTTCATGAAGCAATATCAAATAGTTTCTTGGCTTCATATCTAAAATTTGTAATCATTTCTTTGTATGTCAATATATCTTTACGCTGCTTGTAGGATTTTAGCAGTTTACAAAATTGTTCGTGATATCATCGAATTTATTTGACAACATGTTTGTGTGATATTATGGGAATGTTTGCACTCTCCCATATTTGTTCAACTTTTTTTGCACAATCAAATGACAAAGGATGAACAGTTTCCATACTTTTACGTTGATGTTTGTTCAATAAACACTGTTTCATAATGGATTCATAGTTTGGCAAGACATTTAGCTTTAATTCACTAGGTTCTCCAAATATGGGACAAACAACAGACTGACTAGTTTTTGGCATTGCAATGCTAAAATAAATGAAGATAATATTAATCAACTGATCAAAATGAGATATAAATTTCACAGTATAATATAATAATGC